TTATCATACTTTATAACAAAGCTAATTGCTTGACTCAATATTTGAAGATTCGGTAAGTTGGGCATCAATTTTTTTACCTCATATTATAATCTATAGAAAAATCGGCTAAAAAAAGCAACATCATTTCACTTGATATTAATTACAAGTTGTTAAAACTATGAAGCATCTAATGTTATTAATTGATTACTTTGATGAAAAATATGATTTTTATTGATTGCAACAAAAATTACAACATGTTTTCTATACATGGATTGAAACTCTACCAAAAAAATCTCTAAATTATCTAATATTGGATCTTATTATTCAAAAAAAGAAGAAACCCATAATAATGTTGAATCTTAAAGAAGTATAGTAATAATTTAACTTGCAATCGTAGAATTTGATAGCTTTAGAATTGAAGTTCAATCACAAATTAAACATGATTGATAAATTCTCAAAACTTGAATCTTGTACCATCAAACTTTTCAAAAAGTTCAATCCTTGGTTTTCTAATATTGGAAGGATGCTCCACCATAGAAGAAAGAATATTATTTATTACATATATTAAAGTAGCTCCAATCATTTCTATATCTTTGTTTTATGTTATTTTTGTTGCTCTTAAGAAGATAAATTGAGTTGATGTATTGTAAATATTAATTTCCTTAATTATTCTTGCATTTGTGTCAATGTATTCTTCATTTTAAAAATCTTTGCTATGATAACACTTTAAAAATATATATATATGTCTAATATTACTTAAGACAAATAAAAGAGAGGACTTGAGAACAAAGAAAATACTAAGGACTATATTAATTTAGAAGAAGGTAATCCATAACTTCAAATATATTTATGTCTTATTAAGAAAAAAGGAGAATCCACTCTTAATTAAAAAAATATAAAGCTTTGATATTATAAATATATTCTTGTCAATATATCAAGGACAAGAACTCCATGAAACAAAATGATCAACTGAGACTTTTTCAAAAACATATGAAAAAATAAAAATAAAGAAACATGTAAATTAAAAAAAATTGAAGTGGCTATTGTCAAAAGATAAGAAAATTAAAGATTCTTGAATCTAAAAAAAAACAAGAAAGAATTTGATAAGACTAAAGAAGGCTTCATTCTTATATATATATATATATATATATATATATATATATATTGTCTACATAGGAGCTACATGAAAATATGCAATAGGACCTCCAACAAATGTATTAACTTTGCAAGCCATAGTTTAACTTGTAAAACAAGTTTTTTATGTATGCACCACATAGTTAGCTTGTTCTACAAGCTATTTATATGTGTGATATTTGGCTAACTTTTTGACCAAGTTTCTAATCTAAAAGTCAAATATAAATATATATAAAGTCAAAACCATATCTATAAAGATTTTAGAACATATTATGAAATTATGAAATTAATCTACTTTTATCTATTTTCATCTATTTTTATTTAAACATATAGATAATTATTAGAATAAATATGTATGTCTATGAAATCAAATCTTAAATTCTAATCAAATCCTAATAAAATCCTAATGTAACAATAAATCAATCTTAATCAAATCCTAATATAATTCTAAATCAATCCTAAACAAATCTTAAATTCGAACCAAATCCTAATAAAATACTAATTAAATCCTAAAGAGATCCTAAACAAATCTTAAATCCTAACAAATCTTAATTAAATACTAAACAAATCCTAAAGAAATCCTAAAAAAATCCTAATCAATTTCTATAGTTATTTTAAATCACAATAAATACTAATTAGACTAATAGTTACAACTTAAGTTTTATCTACATTTCAATTCATAAGCAATTAATAAGTACATAAAATTTTAAAAAAATAGAATTCATCAATAAAAAATAAAAAATAAAAAATACCTAAACCTCTTAGATGTTGGCCGCCTTCCTTCTCCAATTCAATGTTGATATTCTAGCAACAATTCCTCATTGCTAAATGGTGCAATCGACTTAATTTTTTTTTTTTTTTTTTTTTTTTTTTTTCAAGATTTCTAAATCCAAATTGTTTTCACTAATTTTTTTTTCAATAAAATTAGAAAATTTTTAAGGATCATAAAAATCCTCACTAATCCTAAATTTTAAAAATTTAAGATCTTAATCTAATAAAACTCTTATATTTATCAATCTAATCAATTAATTGACATCAAATTCTTCAAGTACATTGAATACAAGCACAATAATAAATTCACAAAATTTCACCTATAAATACACTATAATTCTTATAAAACATACAAAATTATTAACCTTTTTTTTTATATATTCTAAAACCACTAAGTATATTTCTTATTTTTAAAAATCTTTAAAAATTCAATATGACTTCAAATCACATAAAACTAACTCTTAAAAAATTGCTCACTTATTTACATGCAAATGCCATTATTTGATCAATCAAAGAACATTGGAATTACTATAGGTGTAAAATTTTGTGCCTTGGAATTGGATTTTGACCTTGATTCGCAATTAGTCCTTTTTGGATATCAATTCTTAGTATTTTGAAATAAATTTGGCTAAATCCTATTTTCAACTCTCACTTAAGAATGCCTATATCAATTAATTATCTCATGTACTTTCATTTGGCTCATTTAAACTCTTACAAAGTAAATAAAAGTTTCTTTTATAAAAAATAATATTAAGACTAAACATTTTTATTACGTTCCTATTATTTATCCATATTTTACTACTATATCTTTTTGCTAGGCTCTTCTATAATAAAATCCATAATTTTTTTAATCTTTCACTATATAAATGTATTATTAAACGACAACAAAAAGACCACCATGATATTTGATCATTTATGATGCTTTTATAACTTCTTTCAAAGAAAAAATTTATAATACTATCAAGGCATGTTCTTAATTTCAATAATATTATGAAAGATTGAAAGTCTCTTCAAAGATTATTATACAAAACATGTTGTATCTTGTTATTTATTTGAAAAAATATATATTATTCTTGTATATCTTAAGAAGAATAAATATCCACTCCAAAAATAATATAATATTAAGATTAGAATGGCTATTGCCAAAGACAAAAAGAGAATAGATTCTTAAAACTACATTAAGAATAAGAAAGATATTGATAAGAGTGAAGAAGGCTTCTCTTACCTCCATATATACTATCTAATTAAAAACTATATGGTGATGTTCTATAGGACCTCCAATACATATTCAAATTGTGAGACACATGTCTTAACTTGTATGATAAGTTTTTTTTATATGTACTATATAATTAGCTTCTTCTACAAGCTACCAATATGTATAATATATGGTTAACTTATTGACAAAGTTTTTAACTTACAAACACATGTAAAGTCAAAGTTACATCTATAAAGCTTCTAAGAAGCTTCTTTAGAAGATATTATGAAATTAATTTATTTTTACCTATTCATATATAATCATATAGGTAATTATTAGAATAAATATATATATATATATATATATATATATATATCCGTGATATTATCCCTTTTTTTAAAAATGAGTTCCACAAAGAGCATTCATGATATGTTAAAAAAATCCAAGACATGAAAAATTGTATTTGTCACATACTAAAATCCTTGTTTTCTTTGAAGATGGTTGATAGGTCCTTAGAACCATTGATAGTATTTCATACTAGAGCAAAAAGACTACTATATTATTTGATTGTTGTTGGGACCTTCATAACTTCTTTTAAATAAAATATTTGGAACATTGTTAGAAGTTATTTCTACTTCTAATAAAATTACCAAACATTAGGAGTCATGTGAGGCCAAATCCTACCACTCTATAAAATAAGTGTTATACAACAAGTTTGAGAGGTAGAATAGAAAATTTCCAATTGTACAAGTGTTAAATTAATTCAAATGTAAGAATTTTTATTTCAATTTGATTTATTGCCTTCTAAGCAATGCTTATTAATGTTCATTAATATTTTATTATTATTATTATTATTATTATTATTTTTTTTTTAAAATAAATTTATTTATTTAAATATTTAAATATAAATATAAATTATAATAATAATTATTTATTGATTTATTTTAGTATATAAAATTTATTATATATTTAAAAGATAATAAAATAAAAAATAAAAAATAAAAGTAGAAGTAGAAGCAAAATAAAAGTGAAATAGAAATAGAAGTAAAAATAAAGTAAAAATAAATAATAAATATAAAATTAAAAATAAGAAAAAATTAAAATAAATTAAAAGTTGAGTTGAGGTTAAGTCAAAAGTCGGAAGGTGAAGAATAAATAGAAAAAAAAATGTAAAGATGAAAAGAACTAACCTCAACCATGCTCCATATAAGGGCAGCACACTTCTTTTTACTCAAAAACTTGCCAAAAATTTGAATCAGCTTTAAATCTGATGATTCTAGCTTAATTTTAAATCAATTCAATAATTGAACTATGAGAAATGCCCCTTCAAAGTTAAATAATTGGAATTGCCTTGGCAACCTACTCTTTCACTTTGAATTTTATCAAAAATTCAAATCGGTTTCAATATCTATGAAATCAGTGTTCTTAGAAGATCAACTTATAAAACTTGTTTTTCTTAAAATTTCAGAATAATCTAATTATAAAGCATTGAGTTTTGCCTTTCCAAAATTGAGTAATTCAAACTACTAAGGTAGGCGATTTCTTTGCACTCAAAAATTCATCAAAAAATTGTTCCAACTCTAAATCAAGCATGCCTTAGATTGTTGGAAAGTTGACAACAAGAAGTATGTGCTTAAAAAAATTGACTTTCAAAATCATAAAAACCATAGACTAATTGAAAAAAATCTAAGGCCCTTCAAATCTCTTTGACTATTGAGGTATTTGGGAACCACTAATTCCAATAGAGTGCCTTCAAAACTACAAAAAGCACCATCTATATACAAAATCAATGCCTCCACACATTTAAAAGGTGCA